TTGCGCCTCTGTTCTTACTCCTAAGCTGTCTCGCAGCTCCAAATCGGCGTGGATGAGTCGTATCGCCTCCAAATCCCGGATCCCGACGATGCTACTGCCGCATTGCTCACGGTAAATCCCAGCGCTGCTCCTTCTTGATGGAAATTTGATTGTTCTTTCGTGGGATTCTCCTCTTTCAGGCAGAGACTGTGTATGGAGCCCTACACGGATTGGAGGTAATGTACGGACATTGATAGTCTCTGGAGTGAAATTTTCGTGTTCTTGGTGCTCTCTCAGACGTTTAGCCAGATCTGCGCGTTCAATTTCACGACGAAGATGACGGAAGTGCGATACATCCCAGTGGACATCGTCGATCGGCCGAGATTTGAGTATCGAGGTCTCTTGATTGGTACGATGATTAGCTTTCTTCGTGTGTCTGTCTCTTCACTCATTGTAAGCTTTTCTTTTTTATCACAGACACTTCGAGGCACTATGAGCCCCTCAAGATTGTCCGGAGCGTCATTGATTCCATGGCCTACGCCAAGCTGGTGAATACTTAAAACTTTCATCATACTGTTGGTGTTGACGGATTTTTTTACGTGTTTCTAGAATGTTTTGCACTGGCATATTGTCGACACCCAATCGTTTCCTTTGGAGATTCCTTCCTTTCCTAAGCTTTGGAATGGAGCGTATACCGGAGCCGAGCGCTACACTCTAGAAGATGCCAAGGGTATTGTCGAGTAAGTCCACAATTTTTGTCCCTTTCACGTGCCAAACAAATTTTGGAATTTCGGATTGTCAGATACGCGAGGCTAAGAGGAATCAATGTGATGCCAGAGCTTGATGTTCCCGGTCATGCTGCATCCTGGTCTGATTCTCTTTTGCGTTATCAATAAGATAGATTGCTTCAATTGTGCCGGATCAACAGGGGCGTAGGCTATCCGGAACTGTGGCCCTCCGGGAACTGTACGCAACCTTTGGATGTAAGCAGTGAGTTCACTTTTGAGGTCATCGAAGGGATCATTTCGGGCAAGTAGTGATAAACTTCCGGAGGCAGCAAAGCATTGACTCTGTTTTCCTGTAGATTTTGCAAAGACCTTTCCTTTCAAATTCATGCACCTTGGTGGTGACGAAGTCGATACAAGTAAGCCACAGAAATACTTCCAAGTTTCTCATGTTTGATGTTTAGCCTGCTGGAAGAAGACGCGACATATAGCCAGATGGTATGTAGTCAAGTTTCGGGATCAAGTTTCGGCTTATTCTAACATGCAGGCTTGCACATAACAATTTCACCGCCAAGCAAGGCTACGAATACTTTGTTCTACGCGCGCAAAAGATTGCCCTGAAGTACGGGCTTACTCCCGTGAATTGGTAAATTCTAAAAGACTTTCTGAACTTTATAAAGCTGACAATAACAATGCCAATGCAGGGAAGAGACTTTTAATAACTTTGGTAGCAAACTCAATAACGAGACGATCATTCACAACTGGTCTAAGCTTTATCCTTACGTTTTCTTAGGATACTCACATTCCTGGAACTTACTTTTCAGGATAGGACCTGGTCTGGCGCCACTCGTTGTAGGAGCAGGTTTCAAGTGCATCGTGAGTGATCAAGACGTGTGGTATCTGGATCATCTCGACGTACCATGGCAAAGCTTTTACAAGAACGAGCCACTCACAAACATAACGGGAGAGCATGAGCAGAGTTTGATAATTGGAGGAGAAGTTTGCATGTGGGGCGAAACTGTGGATCCAAGCGACATACATCAAACAATCTGGCCTCGAGCGGCAGCTGCAGCCGGTGAGTCCGGGTCTCGGCCGTGTTTCTCACTCACATTTGAGCTTTTCTAGAACGCTTGTGGTCTCCGAGGAGCTTCACGGACCAGGGAACTTCGCAAGTCCATTCGAGGCTCAAAACTTTCAGGTGTTTGCTACAACAGCGAGGGATCCCTGCAGCTCCAGTAGATGAGCTTGGGCGGGTGTCTCCGCCGTATCCAGGTTCTTGTTACGACCAGTAAAGTATCGCAGAATTTTTATGTAGCGTGTTAATTTACTTGCTTCTCAACAATCTCAGTGTGTACATTGCAGCTTTCAATGGTTATTATAAGAAGTATGCGCAAGCAGGAGATACGCTCCAGAGTTTCCTGGCTCGAGCTTGACAGCCTCGTCCACAACTTGGTTGGCTCGATGCAAATCCCCGTGAGTCCGACAGGCGCCCAGAACACTTGTCCATCCCACTGCCCCCAGCAGCTTGGACGTTTTCATCACGAGCTCCTCGGCGTCCCGCAGCCGTCCAGCTCGTCCCAGCAGATCAATCACGCAGACGTAGTGCTCCTCCCGCGGCTCGACTCCAAAGTCCTCGGTCATCGACACAAAGTAGCTCCAGGCCTCGTCCACCATCCCTGCGTGAGCACACGAGGAGAGAATGCTGATATACGTCACCTCGTCAGGCTCCAGGCCCTGGAGTGCCATCATCCAGTACAGCTCTCTGGCCCCGACTCGAGCTCCACTGCGGGTGTGAGCGGCGATGATGGCGGTCCAGGACACCAGGTCCTTGATCGGCATCCTCGCGAAGACGTCTCGAGCTCGATCGAGGCTACCCAACTTTGCAAACATGTTGATGATCCCGGTTCCAAGGACGAGGCCGAGCTCATAGCCACTGGCGACTATTCGCTCGTAGAGCTTCCTCCCGGCAGCTCCTAGCGACGGCGACTCGGTACATGCCTCGAGCAGAGCCACGAAGGTGCGATGGTTTGGCAGCGAGCAGCCTTCTACGTTCATCCGGTAGAAGATCTCGAGAGCTTCCTCGTAGAGCCTGTGCTGGATGCAAGCACCGATGATGGCGTTCCAGGCAGCGACGTCCTTGTCAACGATCCTGGCAAAGGCAGACTTGGCATTCGCGAGATCTCCGCAGTTGCTGTAGAAGTCGACGAGAGCAGTGCCGATCACAGCAGTAGCTTCCAGCCGAGGAGGGATGATCCGGTGGATAGCCCTTCCATCATCCGACCACTTCTTCGTGGAGCAGGCATTGAGAACGCTGGCAAAGATGACTTCGTCCGGCTGGAGAGTGGGATCCTTCTCCTCTAGCAGCGACCGAAACAGCGCCAGCGCTCTCTCGGGACGGCCTTGCTGGGCATTCGCCGCGATGATGAACATCCACGACTTCAAGTCCCTGGAAGCCATAGCCGCGAAGAACTCTCCAGCTTCGTCCAAGCTCCGGCACTTGATATACATGGTGAGCACGGTGTTCATCAGGACCAGCGATCTGTCCAAGCCCAAGTTGACGATCTCGGAGTGGATCTCCCGGCCGCGCTCCAGCCACCGCATCGTGGAGCAAGCACTGAGCACGCTCAAGAAGGTAACTTCGTTTGGCTTGGATCCCTCTCTCATCATCCTCCTGTACAGATCAAATGCCTCCTCGGCATGCCCGTGCTGGGCATACGCTGCGATGAGAGCGCTCCAGGTGACCACCGTCTTGGCAGTCATGGATTCGAAGACTTTGGTGGCCAGATCGAAGAGCCCGCGTTTGCCATACATGTTGACGAGCGCGGTGGCCAGACCCATGTCGGTTTCCAGCCCGGTTCCAGCGAGCCTCGCGTGGATCGCTGTTCCTTTCTCGATCCAGCCGAGCGCCGAGCAAGCCCCGATCGCGGTCGTGAAGCTCACGGCGTTAGGCGCTGGATCGCTGGGCATCTGGTCGAAGAGATCGATGGCTTCGCGCTGGAGTCCCGCGAGAACGTACGCCCGGAGCATCGAGTTGAAGGAAGCGACGCTCTTGAGCCTGGACGGGATGGCCAGGAACGCTCGCCGGGCCTCGGCGATGGAGCCGGATCTTCCATACATGTGAACGATCGCGTTGCCGAGATTGGCGAGATGGTGATCGAAGCCGCAAGAGACGATCCTGTTGTGGAGGATCCTCCCCCTTTTGAGATCCCCTGATGATCCACAGGCGACGATGAGGTTCAAGAATGTGATCGCGTTGGGCCGCTCGCCAAGGCAATCCATTCTCCACAGCGCCTGGATCGCCTCCCTGGAATCCCCGGCCTGGGCAAATGCCGCGATGAGCAGCGTCCACGAGTAGACGTTCTTGCACGCGATGGCGTCGAAGACGTGCCTGGCGTTGCTAATGGACCCACACTTGGAATACGTCTCCACGAGGAGATTGCCGAGATAGGTGCTGATGCCCAGGCCACGGTTCCTGGCGAGAATGCAAGCGTGTACCTTCCTGGCCCGCGGGAGCGACCGATCTCGCGAGCACTGCCGGAGGAGCGCCGCCAAGGCATCGTCGCTGTGGGATCTCTGGAGCTGCCGCTCGAAGTCTAGATCCAAATCCCCTATTTCTTGGATCCTCTCTCACCAAAAACCCTAATCTTCTTCTCTGTTAAGGTAGTGTTGAAATTCAAAATTTTGGCGGCATTAAAGCACCTGCAAGCAAAGAAATAAGAATGTTTCTAATATTATTTTTCTTTGTATGTTGAGTTCCTGTTAGCTAAATTGCTGAAGCTAAATTGTTTTTTCTAGTCTTGGGTCCTACTATAAATGAAGAAAGCAACTCTTTGACTTTTTCTCCACAATCAAGTAATAAGAACTTTTAAAGTTGCAATTTCTAAATCATTCACAAGCTAAAATAATAAGCCTAAAACTTTAAACTAATAAAATGGTATTATTACCCAGTAAAAGTCAATGCATTTGATTGTCACAGCACACAATCATTACCACTTTGTCGTTTCAATTTTTCTGTATAAAGATTGTTTAATTAATCTTTATTTACAGTCATGTTGAATGGACTTTTAAAGAGTTAATAAAAGTTATTAGTCACATTTTTTATTATGTTCCATAACATTTTCTATAATCAAAAAGTGCACACACAGTATATATCTTAACTACATAATTTCTTTGATTGTTTAAAATGCTTTGGAAATTATTGTTTACTTACTAAGTCAGCAATGGAGGCATTAGAGTAAATTTATACAATTTTTTAACAAAATCATACACAACCCATCAAAAATCAATTGAAACAAATGCATATCCTAATTTTTTTCATTTGTATATTGAATTATAAGTAAAAGACATATTAAAAATATATATAAAAACCAAGAAGAGCATTATTTTAAAGCTAAACTAACTAGTTTAGATTTGCTAAACAAAAGGAATCATATGAACCATAATTGCCCAGAAAAGAAGGATCTGCCGAAGAGCTAGGATTGATTGCTATAAAAACATTCCTTATCCATACTAGAAACTGGACTGGGGGAAGAAGGCAATAGCAACAACAATCCACCATGGCACCCATCAATTTTGGAAGAACGAGGAGAAGAGTAGCACTTCAGCTTTTGCCTCCTTAGTTCCTTGAGAAAACTGAGCTCTCTACTTATGGCAGGCTGTCTTCCAATGTTTAGCGGACAGTCCATCACTCTATGAGTTGATTCAAAACAAATGTGTGAGTTGGCGGGATTGTCACTCCCACTGCCCTTATCAATATGAGTTTATAAACTATAATTTATAAACAAATTCGAAATGAATAAGAAGTATAGAAAATAAGGGTAAGATTCTTGCTGAAATTAATTTAAGATTGACAAGTCAATGCTATGGTCACTGGGTAACACCATTCTGTGAAGATTGTGCTCACCAGTATGCATCCATCCGGCGAGAAATGAATCCCCCGACTGGATGTATTGGAACCATAATATACTCACTCAGGAAGAGGATGCACCTGACAAGGCTATGTATGAGAAGTGGGACCTGTTTGCAAATTGCTCACAAAGTTCTTGGCAATTGTTGCCAAGAACAATGCCTTCATCTGCGGATGCTCGCTTAGATGGTTACTCACAGCTGTGCAACGATCCAACTCCACAACTACGATCTTGTAGGCCTAGATCAGCGGCCTCTCTCTTTGAGCACAAAACTTGCCGCCTACATCCGTGCCAGGGACGTTGTCAGGGCAAAAGGAACTTTCGATGCAATGCCAGAGAGGGATCTTGTTTCATGGAACTCGATGATTGCCGTATTTGCCAAAAACGGGCATCTAGTAGAGGCGGCAGAGCTCTTTCAGTCCATGCCTGGGTGGAACTCGATCTCTTGGAACTCGATGCTGAGTGGGTATTTGCGCAACAACGAGTTCCTGATGGCTAAAGAGGTTTTTAATGCGATGCCAAATCCTAATCTTTTCTCGTGGACTGCAATGCTTACAGCATTTGCCAGGAACGGGCTTCCAGAAGATGCTTTGGAGATCTTTGAGACCATGCCGGTTTGGAGCATCATCTCCTGGAATGCAGTGCTAGATGCGTTTTCTCGAGCTGGAAAGCTGGAGAAATCGAGGATAATCTTTGGCGCCATGCCAGAGCACGATGCCGTTTCCTCCACTGCTATGCTCGTTGTATATGCCCAGCAAGGGCATCTTGCCATCTCGAGAGAGATCTTTGCGAAGAGAATGCCGCACAAGGATCTCATTTGCTGGAACGCGATGCTCTCGGCTCTGGCAGATCACGGTCATGTGGAAGAGGCCAAGGCACTATTTGATGCCATGCCGGAGCGATCCATCTCGTCCTGGAACGCTCTAATCTCGTGCTACTCTCAGAATGGCCACTTCCAGGAATCCCAGCGCACTTTCGATCGAATGCCGGAGAGGGATGCGATCTCCTGGAACGCGATGGTGATCGCTTTCGCACAGCACGGGCAGCTCCAAGAATCGCGACGCACCTTCGATTCCATGCCAGAGCGCGGCCTCGCGAGTTACAACGCGATGCTCGCCTCTTATGCCCAACACGGGGATCTGGAGCGGGCCAGAGAGATCTTTTCATCCATGAAGCTCTGCAACCTCTTGTCGTGGAACATCATGCTTGCAGCGCACGCACAGTCCGGAGGCTCGATTGAAGGAGCAAAGAAGATCTTCGATAGCATGCCATAGCGTGATCAGATTTCCTGGAATTCGATGCTCTTGGTCAGTGTGGAAGCACTTAAGTGTTCTGCTGATTTGGAAGATCTTGAGAGACTCTTCTTCACTCTAATGCCGCTTCACGATCTCGTGTCATGTAATCTGATGATCACGGGATTCGCAAAGACCAAAAATATTGAGAGAGCAAAGCACGTATTTGATGAAACCCCGGAGAAGAATTTTCTAGCTTGGAACACAATGCTTTCCGCATATGCCGAAACTGGGCAGTTTGATCAAGCTGAGTCAATGTTCTACATGATGCCATTCAGGAGCTTGGCTTCTTCTAGCATGATGTTATCCGTTCTAGCAAGTACAAAAAGGCTTAAATGTGCGGAGATTCTCTTTAGCGAGATTCCATATCGGGACACTTCCTCTTGGAACTCGATGATTTCTGCCTACGCCCAGAACGGACATCTCAAAAGAGCTCGCAAAGTTTTTAATGCTATGCCTCACTTAAGCTCGGTCTCATGGAGCTCCATGATGGTGGCATATACCCGCTCTGGGCATCCTGAAGATGCTCTTGATCTCTTTCGAGATTTGGAACTCCAAGGGTATGTTCCTGACGAGGCATGTTTCTTGTGTGCTCTTATTGGATCCAGTCATACTGGGGACTTATCTTCTGGGTGGAGGCTCTTTTGTGCAATCAGTAGCGACCACAGCATGAAACCCAACAAGGATCACTATGGCTGTATGATTGACATGCTGGGAAGAGGAGCCCACTCGGTCGATGCCACAGAGCTTCTAAAGCAAATGCCTTTTGTCCCTGATTTACGAGAAGTGGTCTCGTCTCTGTTGCTGGGCGTGGGCTGTGGGATCGTTTGTGTTTCTTGCCAACATTCACTTTCAGGCCATGTTTCTCTGTTAACTATATTTGAATGGTTATAAGTATGTTTTAGAAGCTTAGTATAATGAAGGTTTTATTTGAGCATTTTAGTGAATTCAGTGACCTTGTCTGGGCTTTGAGTGGATTTCTTGATCGCTTCCACGCACAGGGTACCAGTTCTCATAGTCTAGTAGAAATTATTCCATTCGAAATGAATTCTGCGGAATTCAGCCAACCCATGCTATAGCGCCTGCCAAAAGATCAGAAAACTTGTTGCGACTTTTATAGATAGATAGAAAGATGTTTACACCCGGGGAGCATACGTAGAATTCCCCAGTCTCTCAACCGTGAAGGCAAATGATGTAAATTGTGTTTGCTATGGCCATCACTAGACCGTGTCAAGGCTTTATGGAAGTCTACAAAGCATCATATCAATTGCTTTCCCATCACCATCATGTATATAAATAATATGATGGTGTCTGGAGTGTCATGCTATGTCGATTTCCTTGAAATCTACAACAAGTTCTCTACCAAGCTCTGGGATCGTCTACATGGGAGAGAAAACTAATGGATGCCAGTCTGGAGGAGGTGAAAGTTTCTTATGAATTTCTTCGGGAACATGGAACAACTCCGGCACTAAGTCTGAAACAGGGAGTAGTTTGGATGAGCAGAGAGCAAATGGAGGAAGTATCTGGAGACCGATGAAACAAAGAGCCATAACAGGAATGACAATGTTTCTTCTCATGCAGATGGGGGAGAATAAAATGCTTGAAAAATATTTTTAAATATGTCATCACTTACATTCTATCTTTCAATTGCTTTCCCACCATATTATGGAGCGTTGACACCGATTACATTTTCTTCAGATTAATTAGAAATGTAGCACAGCAAATTAATTTTGTATATAAATATATTTAGATTAAAAATATTAGTGTATAGTCATAAAAAATAAAATAAAAAACACAATTATCTAGAACAATAATATAATATAACATTAAAAAATATTTTAAAATTAATTTCTAATTTAATAAAATAAAAACTTTATATTATATATTTTTAATTACATTTATTTAGTAATAGTTAAATATTTTATTACCACATATAATATCTCATAGGTATACTCCATTCATTTGGATATAATGCCTGTCTATGAGTCATAAAAATTGCATATGAAAATATATACCATTCGATGTTAGGTTGTCCTCCATAATCAGAATTACCTGCCTTATATACTGTAAAAGTAGTATTTTTCATATTTTCTAATTTTGCAGTGCACCAAAATTCCGTTGTTCCAAACCATTTCTCATTAAATTCAAATGGCATTCCTTGACGATCATTAAGATTTTTTATACCCATATCATCATCTGCTGATGCACAATGTAATTCTAATTTTGAACCCACTCTATTGAAAACATTTACAGCTATTTTACCATTAGAAGTAAAAAATAATATTAATAATACTATTAATGTTAAATTCATTGTAAGTGATTATATTACTATGTAGTTATACTCTAAAATATGGTTATATATGATTAAAAAACATAAACATAAAAATATGAAAGGAATTAGTTACATTTTATGTTTCGAATATGAAAGGAATTAGTTACATTTTATGTTTCGAATATTTTATGTGATTCATAATAAGCAATGCTGCAATAGCAACGATCAAAATGGACAAATTTTATAAATAATAATAAAAAATATTATTGATAATGTCAAAAAGTAGATCATTTTAAATTTATAATTTATAAAAATGACTTCCTTTTCAACATTATTTTTTGTTTTCTTAAGAAAATCTGTAGAGGACTAGGGTGGTAGTGGACATACCTAGAATATCCTTGGATATTCTTGGATATTCTACCATGTAACGGTTGCTATTCATTTAGATTAATATTGTATTTATAATTTATAAACTTTTCTAAGAACTTCTTATTCCTACTATCTGTGAGGGCCAAGTGTACGGCTACGATCTCGAGCTTGAGTTGCAGTCGTTGTGGGTGGTGCCGAGTCAAGCTTTTGCCATCATTATTGGTATGGATTGGTTGCAGCGCAATCATGCCAAGTGTGCCTTTGAGGCTTTTCTCCCTTGTCTCATACTTCCTTATATTTCATCCATTCCTCTCACTTCCATACCTCTTCGTCCCTCTACTTCTACATCTGTTTCTATTACTTTTGTTTCCCCACTATTTCCTCCTATGTTTCTATCTTGTTTTGCTCTTCCCTTTTCCGATCCCTCCAAAGATCTTTGTGTTGCAGCTGTTGACCGGCTCATGAAGGAGTATTCTGATCTCTTTGAATTTGACCTATCGTTTGGGGCCAAGATTGCCACACGTCATCCGATTCCAACCGGGGATGCTCGTCCCATCAAGGTTTCGGTTCGTCATCGGTCACCCAAGGAGATCAAGATTTTACGTGTAAACGTCAAAGAGATGTTGGAGAAGGGTGTTATTCAGAAGTCGCGGAGTCCTTGGGTATGTGAACCTCATCTTATGACGAAGTCTGATGGGAGTATTCGTTTCTGCATCGACTATCGTCCGTTAAATGAAGTGACGATCCCAGATGTGTACCCTCTTCCTCACACGGCTGATCTTTTGGATCGTCTAGGGCAAAGTCGTTGGTTCACCAAGCTCGATCTTGCTTCTCGGTACTGGCAAGTACCAATGGCCGAAGAAGATATTCCTAAGACTGCTTTTCGTACACCATTTGGTTTGTGCGAGTTCTTGGTGATGCTGTTTAGTCTGAACAATGCTCCAGCAACTTTCCAGCGAATGATGAACGAGGTTCTTTGTGATATGCTAGAGGTGACTGCTGACTTCATTAATGATGTCTTGATTCACTCGGAGGGGACGTGGGAGGAGCACATTCGTGATGTGTGTAAAGTGTTGGATCGGCTACGGGACGTTGGTTTAAAGCTGAAGCGGTCGAAGTGCGTATTTGGGTCCAAAGACACAACTTATCTTGGGTACCATATTTCTCGTGAAGGTTTGCAAGTTGATCCTGACAAACTTGTAGCCGTTCTAAAGTTCCCTACTCCGAAGTGTGTGAATGATGTGTAGCGTGTAAGCGACTAAATTTTTCCATTCTACTTTAGTCACTTAACCACACCTCCAACCACTTGGAGGAGTCTCATTCACAACCTCCATAAGTCCAATCCAGGACTTGGGACTTGCTAGCCCCGAGAATGGCATCCATGCCACTCAACATTTGCACTTGGTCCAAGTGCTCCACGTGTCCGATCCCATGACCGACACTCAAAGGTACCACCGACATAGCAGCTCGTTACGCTAAGGCCATGCCCAATCACCTTTGCCACACTGGTAGTCCACTACCACTTGCATCACCGTCTTGGCTCTCCAAGACTAGGCAAACCATCCGTGAGTGGTCATCTCAGATCCACTCCTTAGCATCCTTAGGATGCCCACCGACAAGGGGAATAGCCTTCCCCAATATCCCTCTGTCAGTTCCCACTAAGTCCCTTTCTGCCCCTGGCCGTGTTTGCCAACACTGCCACTAGATCGAGACCCACAGGCCCGACCACTAAGTCCCACGGTCCTCTGGGACTTCCTCACCACACGACTGTGTCCTTGGTCACTACCTCAGAGGACTATTCCTCTTCCTTTCCACAGTCTGGGCCTTCGGGACAACATTTCGGAACACCGTGGCCTTACGCGAGCCACCTGGGTACTCTCCTCGCCTTTCGCCTTTAGGTGCTCTAGCCATGGGCTTAGAGCGAGGTTCCGTTGAGCCACGACAGGTGTCCAAGTAGGTAGTGCCACCCACACTTGGACTGGGAGCATCGGCCAGTCGATCTCCCGGGGGAACTAGAGCCGGCTCTTGAACACTTCACCAAGCTACCCCACTTGTCCGTCTGTGTTCACTCTAGTCTTGGACTTCCCAGTGGGCAGCTCCTCACCCAACACTGGGTCCGGCCTTCCTGGGCCAAACTGGCCTTTCCTGGCCAAACTGGCTCCACTGCAGTCCTCCCCCTACTATACTTTTGGAGCTCACCAAACCCCCCAGGGTCTGGGAGACGAACGCTTTGGGCTTTCACCCTCTCAGGCTCCGGACTCGGCCTCGGACTCGGACTCGGACTCGGACTCAGATTCGGACTCGGACTCGGGCTCGGGCTCAGTCTCGGCCTTGGCCTCGGTCTCGGTCTCGGTCCCGATCTCGGTCTCGGTCTCGGTCTCGGTCTCGGTCCCGGTCTCGGTCTCGACTTCGGACTCCATCTCGGACTCCATCTCGGACTCCATCTCGGACTCCATCTCGGACTCCATCTCGGGTCCATCTCGGGTCCATCTCGGACTCCATCTCGGACTCCATCTCGGGTCCATCTCGGACTCCATCTTGGACTCCATTTCGGGTCCATCTCGGACTCCATCTCGGACTCCATTTCGGGTCCATCTCGGGTCCACCTCGGACTCCATCTCGGACTCCATCTCGGACTCCATCTCGGGTCCATCTCGGGTCCATCTCGGACTCCACTTCGGACTCCATCTCGGACTCCATCTCGGGTCCATCTCGGACTCCACTTCGGACTCCAACTCGGGTCCATCTCGGACTCCACTTCGGACTCCAACTCGGGTCCATCTCGGACTCCACTTCGGACTCCAACTCGGGTCCATCTCGGACTCCACTTCGGACTCCAACTCGGGTCCATCTCGGACTCCACTTCGGACTCCAACTCGGGTCCATCTCGGACTCCACTTCGGACTCCAACTCGAGTCCATCTTGGACACTCCCACGTGTCATGTGTTGGTCCTTTTGGGTCCCTTTTTGGAGCCTCGCCTTTTGCTCGCTTCGTGCTCGTTCCTCGAGCACTTCGTTGGGAGTTCCACTCCCACTCTTGACTTTTCAAGTCGGAGCTTTTGGTCCAAACGTGTTACGCTCGTTTGGCTCTCGCTTCGGCCACTACCATGTGGCGCCCTTCTGGCTCCACTTTGGGGCCTAGGGATTTTGTGTCTCACAACTCCACCACCCATAGACGAAGTTCGATGTCCTCATCGAACGGTAAACCATTTTTTAAAGTAACACTCACATGTGTTACCATTTCCATCCTTGGCACCTAGCCAATATTTGTCAATGGTTTGACATTGAAGGCTCACCATGCCTTCTCCATATTCGTCAATGGTTTGACATTGAAGGCTCACCATGCCTTTTCCATATGCCTCAATGGTTTGACACCAAAGGCTCACCATGCCTTGCCTATCCTCTAAGGAGGGTAGTCTCTCCAACTTAGAGACTGAT